GCTAAGGCTTACTATTCAAGGCATAAGGTTTGTGGTATGCACTCTAAGTCCCCTAAAGTTATTGTTGCTGGTCTTGAGCAAAGGTTTTGTCAGCAGTGTAGCAGGTCAGCCCTCCAAGTCTGCTTTCTTCTTTCCCTCTCTCTCTTTTTCTATTTTTTATTTCCAATATTGTAGCTTTGCTTTGTTTTGATTGGGTTTTTTCTTTTTGTTTTCGCCTTATAGATGTTTATTGAGGGGCTTGTTAATTATAGTTATCTGTGTTGCTGTTCAAAAAAAAATTATAGTTATCTGTGTTAGTCAAAAGTTTTGGTTTTGGGTTCTGTTTCTAATGGTTGTAGATTGGTGATTTTTAGTTGTGTTGGGTTAATTTTTTATTTTTTTTCTTTTTTTTTCTTTACTTGTATCAACTTTGGTGGCCTTCTGTGTTATGTTACTTTCATAGTCTTTTTGAATTTCTTTGTTTAGTTGGAGGGGATGTGGTGGCTAGAGTTTTGAGTTTGTTTCTCGTGGTTGTGGATTGTTAGTTGTTCTTGATTTGATAATAGTTTTGGATTTAGTAGGCTGGTTAAATGGGTGTGTGGTTTTAATTGAGTATTGTTTAATTTAATTCATACTTGAGCAATCTAATTACTATCTTGTTTCTTCGCTTTAAATTCTTATAAAGTGATGAAGAGTGTGGTTGTTGTTTCTCAGTGCTTTTTTTTATGGCTTGATGTTTTTGGTTCTTTGTGGTTGGATTTGTACATTGAAGTCGATTCTAGTGAAAGGCTCGTGGACTTTGTTGGTTGTGTTTGTTTGGTTTGGTGCTTAGCTACTGATTGGTGCCATAGTTTTTGGTGCTTTCTGTTTGTCTTCTCTGACATAGTTTTGTCATGATCTTTAATTCACTAGTGTCATGGAAGCCAATTTTCTTTGTACTCTGTCTGTGGGGACTTCACAGTTATGGGCCTTATATGAGTGTAACGTCTGGTAATTATTTGGTTTTGCATATAGGTAGGTTGATTATATTTTTCCAAATTGTTTAATGCTTTTTAGTTTATGGACATATTTCGGAAGCTATTACATGTTTCCAGTTTTACATCCCTACCTGGGTTCTTTTGTGGTTATGAGGAGCATGGTAAAGAAACTTACAAGATGATGGTGTTATAGTCTAGGTTGAGATGGTGGCAATTTCTGTACTTTTCATAAGTAAATTTTTATGCTGAGATGACATGGTGAGTGCACAAAATCTACTCATGTTTTTTAACCATCTTTCAAAAATTCTTTTAACTTCTGGTACCATTGTTTTTGCGCTTGGGTCATACATATTTTTTTTCTTTTCTCTATATGCTATTGTGAAAAAATCTCATTATGACATCCGGCATGCAACCTGTTCTTTTTGTAAACCAAACAGCATCATTAACCGGTATTGGAGTTTTTAAGAGCAACTGAGTTTCAATCTTAAGTCTTTCTAACTGTATTACATCTTGAACCTGGCACCTCAATTTTGAATAAGGGAAGAAGTAAGACCCATACTGCATGATCAGTTGTCTTGAGAAAGCCTTCTTGCTGATTCGATTTTCTATGTAGATTTTGGTTATTATTTCCCATGTATGTTAGAGTTTATTCTAGTTGAGATATAAATGAGTGCCTATTGGAGCAAAGTCTTAATTTTTTACACACCTAGGGCACATTTTTGCAATACGCTAAAGCATGCGCTAAGCAGTTAACTTATAAGGTTATCTCTGTTCCTATTCTTGTGTCGTTAGGGCATATATTTATGTCAATTCTTCTGTGCTGTGTATATTATTCAGAAACTGTATTCAAATTAGTTTTCTGGTCTTTTTGAGTAGCTAGTTTTCAGTCTTTCTACGATCATGACCATGTTTAAAGCTATTTGAATTGCTTGATTTCTAAACCCTTGTGCCTGTGTGGTGCTGCATCTGTCAGTTTATCATGTTTTATTTGGAGATTAGTAGATTGTCTATATTGAAACATGATTGTATGGTGGTGATTGATGTGATTGATATGTCCATTGATGATTTGCAAAATTGCACATTTAAGGAAACAAAGGTTTAACCTCAAATAATTCAGTTGACTTTAGATTGAACAATGCATATAATTAAGTTGGAAATAATTAAAAGATGTGTCTTGATCCTTGTAATCCATGTGGTATTTAATGTAGGGAACATATTTGGCTGCTGCCCTGACATTCTGGAATTTTGAATCAGATATTTTGCAATCACTTGGCATAATGGTTGTTGATCAATCTATACCCCTAGTGGTGCTATTGTATTTAAGAGACCGAAATGCGGTTCTCATTATTGCTAGAACACTTATATTTTAATAATTGACTTCATGGTCTATGGAAGTTTATAATTCTAGAATGCGTATTTTGCAAAATAAATGACTAAAACACAATGTTTATCACTAACTTGTCGTGCACTTAAAAGCTAAAACAAATAGCAAATCTGATGGTCGTAAACAATTGCTTATATCTATTTTTGGTATTTTGACATTCTCCCAGCCACTTAGTGGTGGACATACCATTGAAACATTGCTTATACCATTTTTATACTGCTCATACCCTCTTCCATGCAGGGGGCCTTTGTTTTCATGCTATATATTTAGAAATCATGAGACTTACATAGGAGCTTTACTGGTAGAGATAGTCACTGGGGTTAATTTTTGTGATAGAAGTTGAGTGAATGTCCTAAATAGGTTTGAAGAATGCTATGGAATATTGGAACTAATACACTCTGATAGAAGTTGAGTATTATCTCTATTCTATTATTTATAGTTATGGTATAAAAGTTAGTTTGTGCCTAGCAAAATACTGTATGATGCTTTCTTTGTTCTTTTTGAATGGTTAATCATAGGATATTTTTTTAAGCTCAAGGTAGGCTGACTTTGTGGAGGGTGAAAAAAGTTACTCCAGACAATATTGGTGAACATGATAGCATCTCTCTTTTCTGAAAGTAGCTAGTAATTGGCAGGTTATGGATATACATTGGCATATTCCTCCTCTGTTCAATTTGATATGTTTGAGGACTTTGAACTGTAGTTTGCAACTATGCATGGTATCCTTTTAAGATTAGGGATTTAGCATGTCCTGAGGACCTAGGTGATGGCTATATCTGGGTTTCTGGTCTTGTTGCAGACCTGTTTATGCTTCAGAACAGAGGACTGACCACAACTGGGTTTTTCTCTCTCTTTTTAAAAGAAGTATTAAGCAAAAGTATGCCTAGGAATAGTAGTTATGAATGATTGGAACGCTAATCTCACTCCTCTAGATTTTATCTTTTTGCTTGAACAAGGCTTGCGTGTGTGCATAACCTACATCGACGAAATTTAATTACTTTGGAACTGTGAATTTCTGCTCCCTTTCAAAAGATGTATCTGTTAATGCTAGGCATGTAATTGTGTATATTAATCATGTTTTTCTTGCCACCCTCTTTCACAAAAAAAAAAAGAATTATCTTTCATTGTGTAGTCATCTAGTTTTAGTTCTTGTTGGATTTGATACCCTTGTAATTATATTTGGAATCTCTTTTTTTTTTTATTATCAAATTTAACGTCTTCTATTGTGGTCCCTATCCAGATTTCATCAGCTTCCTGAGTTTGACCAAGGGAAACGAAGTTGCCGTAGACGGCTTGCAGGTCACAATGAGCGACGGAGGAAGCCACCACCTGGATCATTATTAACCTCTCGTTATGGCAGACTCTCTTCATCTATTATTGGTTAGATCATGATTACAAATTATTTAATCTGCTTTGTTTAGTAAGTGCAAGAAGGTAACGACTTGCAGTTTCACTGTTAATAAATAGTGTCTGCATTTGATGCTTATGATGCAGAAAGCAGTAGAGGTGGAAGCTTTATCATGGATTTCACAGCTTACCCAAGGCTCTCTGGAAGGGATGCGTGGCCAACAGCAAGATCATCAGAGCGCTTACCTGGAAATCAAAACACGGCTACAGGGAGGTCACTTCCACATCCATGGCAAAACAACTCTGAGAATCCTCCGCCTGACCTTTTTCTGCAAGGTTCACCAGGTGGGACTGGTTTCTCCAGTGCTGGAATTCCTCCGGGAGAATGCTTCACGGGAGTTGCTGACTCAAGCTGTGCTCTCTCTCTTCTGTCAAATCAACCATGGGGCTCTAGAAATCGGGCTTCAAGTCTAGGGGTAAACGACATGATGAATACTGAAGGGTCTTCAGTGGCTCAACCAACAACGCCTCATGGTGCAACTGTGAATCCATATTCAAATGCCTCTTGGGGTTTCAAGGGCAATGACTCTGGTAGCACCTCTCACGAATTGCCCCCTCACCTGGGTTTGGGTCAAATCTCAGAGCCTGTTAACAATCAGTTTTCTGGTGGGCTTGACTTGTCTCAGCAAAGCAGGAGGCAATATATGGAACTTGAGCAATCAAGGGCGTATGACACCTCCACGCAGCATAGTCACTGGTCGCTCTAAGTTTGGTGCTTCCTGTCTCTTTCCTGTGCATGTTGACCACTTTTTGTGCCCGATCGTATGTCATGCTATAACGTACGATGTGACGTATGGCCATTTGGGCACCGGTTTTATGTTTTCTATGGGTGGTTGGATTATACCAAACCATCTCTTATTATGTGTCTGCCTAAGGTTGTAACATGCTTGATAACAAGGTGTTTCCCCGGATTAAACTAATTAGCAACTAAATAATCTATCTCAATGCTTTAGCTTAGCAGATTGTTGGCTTTGATGGCATTTGGGAGTTAAGATGCCCTGTATTTGCCGTTGCTGCTGCTTGAGTCACTCAGGCAGGAGTCCGCAAGTTGTTGGTATGTTGTTATGATAATGATGTGTTCAGGTAAAGCAAGTGCGCGAGTATTAAGTTACATTTTCAAGCAAGGTGCTGGTCCTGTCGTGCCATCAACGCCGTAATAACCGGACTACCCTTTTTTTTTGGTAAGTTTGAATATTCGAGACGTGAATGATAAAGCATATCGAGGCAAGGCTAGGCTTGTTCTCGTTTTTGGGTTAAAAAGAATCATGCGGTACACCATTCTGATTTAACTTTTGGTTCGGTGATATAAAACATCACACGCTGCAGCTGCTAGATGCTTCCAGCTAAAGACTTCCTCTCAAACATGAATTTCCTACTCGCTCACCATACACAACAGGAAAGAATAATAAGTCACAGTTACTTAATTGCCCTGTGATCTAGCTCCTAGCTCCTAAAATTCTTGTGACTGCTGATATGGTGGAAAATCATAGATTTCATGGCTTCTACAACTCTGCTCCTCATCTCCATTCACAAGTTGAAGAATGCTTACATAAATATTGTATATTTTTTTATCTCTCGTTGTAGTCCCTGTTTGACTCTATCTGGTTTCCAGCTTTTGGCTCATGTAGACTTTCATAACAAGCAACGTGAGAAGTCACCTGCTTCCAAGAACTCCATCAGTTCTGTGCTCAATCATCTCACACCGAGTGGCATGACTTCAACACAGCTCAGTTCAAATACAAATTTCCTTGAATGCCTAAATCAACACACTCCATTCTAGTGATCATCTTCATTTGTTCCAGGGCAGTCGGACAAAAGTGCTTCCATCGATTCATACTGAAACAAATAAGGTATTGAGCATAAAATAATCAGGAATTCAGGACTTTGGAATTTGGATTTAACTTACATTTCTTGTGTCACACATAAGTAATCAAGTGCAAAGCTTTACAGTGGAAAAAATTTCCACATTTTCCACTTACCTGAAATCCACAGAAGGGACAGTACTGATATTCATCTCTCAGTTTCATCAATATATCTTGCAAATCCTGCACCCAATATTGTGTGACCATTATTCATACAAAATTAACTCTCCCAGTTAAACAACAAAAAGAAGACTGCAAAATTTCAAACTAAAATTACCCTAAGCTCTTAGCTACATTCATAAACATAAGAATCATAAGAGGCAATCAGGCAAATAAGGTAATGCTGCAGGTGTGATAGCATAACTTGAATCAAGTGTGCAGTCAATTGAGATTTATAATGAGAGTTAAAGTCATAAGATTAACCAGGTTTGTTGGTCTTCATAGACATCGCCTTATGTCAGAATTTACCCACCCCATGAACATACTTCAATACAACCAAGCAACAGTTAAGAAGAGAAACAGTGACTTTTTCATAGTCGGTTACCATCTCCGATGGGAACACAGGTAAAGTATTGGTAGCAACTAGCCATCCTTACAAGTGAGGACAACCGTGCAAGAAGAGTAGTAGCAGTTAGTGTAAGCTATTAGGGACTCTGAACCACGTTCCAACAGAAGACACCTTCTTCCTTGGACCAAGTATTTGGGCTAAGTAAAATGTATAATATCATTCCTTAACAAGAGCTTTAATGTGGGTTATCCATGCAATCATCCTTCTCTCTCTCTTCGGATATTTTTCCTTAGCAATATTTTATTCTAACACCATAAGAACAGGCATCATCAACTCAGCTACCTTTTGGACCTAAAACACTGCCGCTAATATGTTGAAACTATATTCATGATTGCTTTGAATACTTTTATGAGTTATATGAATTGCATTATAAACCAACACGGGATAAGGTGACAGATTCCCACAGCTCAAATGCTTAATGTCCTTAGAAAAGCCACACGTGTATAACCACAATTGAATGCAATAAGGACCAAGATCACAATGGGCGCCATGTGAGCTCATGTTGGGCTGGTACATACTCTGACCCCAGTTATAATGCCGCAAGCCCCAATACCACTAGCCCAGCTATTTTTTATACTTAACCCATGGCCCTTAAGTTTGAAATCATGTTACTAGTTGTGTCTTGAACCCATATATGGGTTTCACAATCACATTCCTACCCGGTATAGGATTGTGAATCAGATTGTAGTGGTTTAGGTCTAAAATGTAGTTTGGCCACTTGAGTTAAAGGTTGAGATGATTATGAGCCATTATTAGACATGTAAATCAGTCATGCATGTCTGTTTGAGTTCATCAACAATGTGATTCAATTTTAACTATTAAAATACAAAAAGTTTCATGCATACCATAGCTATAACTTATCAACTTAGTTTGCATGTCAACTACTAAAATAATTACAGTCACAAAATCATCAACAAGATGCAGAATCGGAATTTATCCTCAATCAGAGCATATTTAAACTTTGTTATTTGGACTCTTCACTTTGCTTGAAGTATTCATGTTGATGCAACATGAAATTTGTACGGTTAGGGCAACTGGAAATTACAAAAACTGGATAAACTCAACACAAGGAAATGAACCGACTCCATTACCAGTAAGTAACAGCATGAAAGACAGGCAACAATAATACTTTGAAAGTACTTCTAAAATAAGTTTGCATGGCTATATACTGTATATGCATGTGTGGAAACTTATATCAACTATATATGTATGTTGGTATACACACCTCTTCTGTTACCTCTTCCTCCTCCTCTTCATCCTGGTCCCCCTCCTCTTCATCTTCATTCTTCTTTGGCACAACAACTTCCTTATTCTCTAATTGGTCAAGGGCTGCCTTCGCCTTCTTGTAATTTACCACGACTCTCCGACTTCGCCATTGTGATTTTTGCCAAGAACCAAACTCTGCCATCAAAGCCTCCTCCTTCTTCTTTTTTCTCTCGAACTCAATCTCCTCTCTCTTTCTCTTCTCCTTTAGTGGGTCCTCCCGTCCAATCCCAGCTCTTGAGCGCCGAATGTTAAGCCCCACTGGCTCAGCTCTACCTGAGCCCTCCTTTCCAAGTGCTGATCCTGGGGTGTAACCCATTTGCTTTAACAACTTGAAGCCAATGTTAGATTGTGGAATTGGAGCATCTATTTTTGCCAATGTTTTCTCGTCCTCTTCTAGTTGCTTTCTTTCTCTTTCAAGTTTACGCTGTTCTTGCCAGTTCAACTTTTTGGACTTTTTCTTCGATAGTTGGGAACTTAAAGATTTGGTGTTGGAATCCTGCAAAGAATTACGATAATTGTAATAAACATATAAGTTCCCATAAATTTTAGCAATAAGGCGAAAAGCCTTTCAAGTTTCATTTATTAGAATGGACAATTTATAAAATTTAGTTAGTTAATTTATAAGCCTGAAGAACTCATTTTCACACAACTGATAAAAAAAGAAGAAAATAAAAAGAAAGAGAATTCTGAAAAGGGGAAACATAGGTACAAAATTCTATTCCATTGAAATAACTGGCATTCTGTATTTGTTAAAAAGAACTTTCATTTTACCCCCAAACTAGAGGTTTTTAATTTTCTTGTTACAGAATTAATTTGTTAGTGTTATATAAGCAAAGACCCTCCAATAAAATGTAGTAAAACTTAAAACCCTTCTCCTAAAAACTAGTAAAACCCTAACCTATCAAACCCCTAATTAAGCAACAATTTCCCCATACAACCCAAAAAGAGTTTAGCGTTACTTCCAGTTCTCCCTTGCATCTGATTTAAAAATCCATTTTTTTCTTATAATTATGCCAAACCAGTGTAACTTCGCTGTAGAGACTCTATGTGCAAATTCTAAAAGAGTAACAAATTAGGTATAAATAATTAAAAAAAAAAGAAAAACCAACCTTTTTGGACGAGAGTTTAGAAGGGTTAGAGGGCTGGGGAGGAAGAAACTGTGACAGGTCCCCCATGTAATCATCTTCTTCTTCTTCCTTTCCATTTCCATTGCTTGCTTGGTTTCTGCTTGATTCTTCTGCCATTCCTTAGAACTCTCCTTTCAGAAGCAGAGAGAGATTCGAAGAAGAGAAGGCAACAGCTGGTAGGCTTCCAGGCCCAAAAAGTATGGGCTTCGGGCCGGGTGAAATTTGGTTAAATTTTATATTCGGATCCCAACGAACTTTGCGCACGTGGCACTCGTTTTCTCAAACGACCTCAACGGCTTTTGCTGACGTGGATTCTCTACATATACCCCGCCAGCTTCCTTCCCTCTCTATGTAAAATTCAGGTTTTCAGCGCTTTTCTTGAGCTCTGCTTCAATCAATGTCAAGTCAACACACTTCTTAGTACAAGTTCTCTCTCTCTGTCGATAATTTCATCTTTAGATCTCTACATTTCGTTTTACAGTTTTTCTCCAAAGTTTGTACGATTGATGATTCTTTGGAAATGGAAGAAACTTGGTTTACTTTCCCAAGAAATCCAAGAACTCACAAGCCTAATTAGTTTTGGTTGAGAAACATCAAAGCTTTCTTTCTTTCTTTCGTTTTCTCTCCTTTTCGTAGAAAACCTTGTCGCAATCTGATTGCTCTGTGTGACCAGTGGCCTAACGTCTTTTTTGCTGCGTTTCCAGGGAAAAGCTAAGATTCTCGACGAAAATGGACACGGAGCTTCTGTGTTTCTATTTCACTGTAATTGCTTTCTCCGCGACTTTGTTTTTAGAGTCTGAGGCTACTACGGATCAACTTGATGGTAATCATGTTCCATTATATGTTTTGTTTCTCTCAACTTTCTTGATGGTTTGTTTTTTACATATTATATTGTCTGTTTGGTTCGTAAGAAAATATAGGAAAACTTAAAGAACGTATATATGACAATATTTGTTTACTCGGTGTCAAGTTTTTTAATTACTTTCTTACTTGGGACAAGAAAGATTAAAATAGGATCAAGATTCGTTATTGCTTTGTATAACTCTCTTTTTACCTGAGGCCTAATCTCTGGCGGGAAAATGCGGCGACGAGAGAAAGGATATTGGGGGGGGGCGGAAATAGCAGATCATTTTCTGATATGTTAGTTTGGGTAATTATCTGATGACGATGAGATCATATTAAATCCATGAAAAAGAAAAAAGATTAGTTATGGTGAATTATATTGGCACTTTTCTGGTACCTAGCTGCTACACTGGATGATCGTCTCAATAACGTTGTGAGCTTAATAAATCCAAAGATTTGGATTTCACTGTCCACAATATATTTGAGAAAGAAGTTGTTCATAATCAAATTAACCTTTTTTTGCTAAGGATGTGATCAAATTAATTTGATTTTCTGGACCATTAATATTGTTGTTCATAACCTTCTGCCATTTCAGGTCAATTAATATGCTTAGCTTTTAGTTATTGTATTATTGATAATAATCTTATGCCAGTAATATTGCTAACCTGTATAATTGAGTTGTATGTGCCTTTTTCCTTTTGCAGTCGTTGCTCTTAATGGTCTGTACAAGGCGCTGAACTACCCGCCACAGCTAAGAGGGTGGAAATTGTATGGCGGGGATCCATGTGGTGAATTGTGGACAGGAGTGGCATGTTCTGGGTCTGCCGTGATACACCTGTAATGTGCAAACCCTATAGCTTAAATTAACCATGCACTCTACTTGGGTAATCAATAAACTGTTATCTACCCTTCTGCAGGAACGTTCCACTGCTAAAGCTTAGTGGGTATCTAAGCCAACTTGATAATCTCCAAAACCTGAAGTATCTGTGAGTAACTTTACTTTGTATATTGATTTTTGTAGTTTAGAAAATGTATGGAAAGCTCTACACTGTATTAAACTTTTTGAGCTGGTTTTACTCTGTTAGGGATCTAAGCTCCAATAACATTCAAGGTGAAATTCCATATGGCTTACCCCTTAATGTCACTCATATGTAAGAAGTCTGAACCTTTAAGTTCTGGTTCATTATTCAACCAGATTTTATCTCACTCTAGACTTCAATTGTCCCCCAAATTTTAGATTCTTTTGTCCTTCCTCCGTTTCATTGTTTCTCTTTATCATTTAATGAATGCAGAAATATGGCCAGTAACAGCTTGAGCAAAAATATACCCCACTCGTTATCTTTCTTGAAAAATCTCAGACATCTGTGAGTTGCTTTTTACCCTGCCTACCTAGTTTGCTGGCTTTACTTTTGATTACTCGTCACTGATGTGTTCATAATTATTACTTTTCTTCTTTTCAGGAATCTAAGCCACAATTTGTTGTCTGGACCTATTGGGGATGTATTTGCTAGCTTACGGAGCCTGAAGGCAATGTATGCTTTTCCACCCATTGTTTTCTGTTTTGCATTTAACGTGAAAGGGAAGTGTCTATCTAATAAATTTTGGCTTTTGGGAAGAGGCAAACAACACAGAATTCAGAATCTTTTTCTGGTTATATGGATTCGTGTTCATGTTAGGTTTGTTGACAAAAATTAATTAGCATTCCTTATTAATGTTTTCCTTAAAAAAAATTTTGTTTATATTGTTGGAAACTTCACATTTGTGAAGCTAGTTTCCTTACACATTTCTCAACTGAAACATTGTCCAAGATGAAGTGAACCACACTGTTGTATCAATGTAAAGAACTGTGATCTTGAATTGTATATGCTGCACCTGTCTAACGTCTTGAGTTTTATACGGCATAAAACTCAAGTGATGACTAGTCTTTTAAAATTTTAACATGTTATGATAGGGATCTATCGGACAATAATTTCACTGGAGATCTACCAAAATCTTTTGGATCACTGACTAATCTTACTGAACTGTGAGTTAGAAGCAGCTTTATCTAAAATTTTCTTGTTGCATTCCCCAGCTTTTTCAGCCGCATACATGATTTTAATTTCTATATGTCTTCTGGTCTCGATACAGGTTCTTGCAAAATAACAACTTCACTGGATCAGTGATATATTTGTCTGAGCTTCCTCTAACTTACCTGTAGGTTTATGAGGACTGGTTTCAGCTTTTGCAGCTAATTTTGCATTTCAGTTTTACATTTTACTCATGCATATCTTTCTCAGGAACCTTGAAGATAATCATTTTAGTGGCATTATTCCGATGCAGTTTCAATCAATTCCAAATTTATGGTATGTGATTAAATCCAGTGGTGTTAAATTGCGTAAACTAACAAATCATACTAAGACTATTTTCCTCTTTTACTTCTTACAGGATTTGGGGTAATAGATTCGATGTAGGGGCCATCTATCCGCCCTGGAATTTCCCTTTGAATAGTGTTCCGCGTGAGCAAAATATTAGTAGTCCACCAACAACTGAGCAGAGTGCTGTGGTGGACTACCCCTCCCCTGAAGTAACTGAAGAGAAGAAGAAAAGTCTAAGCCCTGTAGGAATAGCATGTGTGGTTGTTGGTGTGGCTCTGATGTCTCTCTGTGCAGCATTATTCTTTGCAATCCATGTTAACCGATCTCATGCCAAAAGGCTCAAAAGCTTGGACAGCAGCAATAGAACGCTGCATTCTCTTCCGATCAGTACAACTATAGGTGAGGGCTCCACTGGTTGAAATTCTTGCGCATGTGTGAATATCAAGTGCACTTTTCTCGCTGATTAGTTATACATAAAACTTATCTAATTCCTCCCATGCTTATAGACTGCTCTACTACTGCACAAGCAGCTAGCCCACCATTCTTCAGTATCAGCAGCCCATCCCCTCTCATCCCAAGGCATACTCCCCCTGGTCATCCGACCAGTACTGAGAAAGCATCTAGAAGAAAAAGTTTCTCAGTAAAACGCACATTTGCAACAGCTGCAAAAGTGTATACCGTTGCAGAGCTTCAATTAGCTACGAACAGCTTTAGTGAAGAGAAGGTTCTTGGAGAGGGATCTCTTGGTTCTGTTTACAAAGCTGAGTTTCCAGACGGGCAAGTAAGTGTATAGTTTCCTATAGGTTTTTCTTCAAATATTCAAGTGACAATGAAATTCTATACAAGGTTTTTTTTTTTTTATAGTATTTGGGGAGGGGGATTCGAAACCTATTATTATTATTATTATTGTTGTTGAAAGATCATATACTAACCAATGAATTAAATGCTTAAATGAAATTATCTGACTTCTGTTTTTGTGCAGGTTTTTGCTGTAAAGAACATCAACATGGTATCTTTGTCTTTCCATGAAGAAGAGCAATTTATGGCAGTCATTCAGATGGCATCGCAACTAAGGCACCCAAACATTGTAAGACTTATTGGCTACTCTGTAGAACATGAACAGCATCTTCTAGTGTATGAATATGTGAGAAATTTATCTCTTGACGATGCTTTGCACAATGAAGTCTTCAAGCCATTGTCCTGGGGGTTACGTGTTTGTATTGCTCTTGGTATTGCTCGGGCTTTGGAGTAAGTATTTCATACAGTTTCTGTAACAAGCACATTTTTTCTTCAAAGTTCTCTTGCTGCAATAATTCTATGTCTGGTACACCTATTTCCCCTGAGTACCCCATGAGGTGAATTAATATCATTTTAGTGCATCTAAAAGTATTATCTACACAATAAAAATGAGCCATAGGAGAATAATTACGCACTTTTCAATCAAGAAAAGAGGGATATGGAGTGCTTATTTAAGGCTGCTTTGTCTATGAAGCTGAGGGAGTAAAATCCTACTGTAACTTTCCCCTCCTCCTTTTTGATGGTTTCTATTTTAATTAATGATGTTTTCAGCTATTTGCACTCGGCATTCTCACCTCCTGTCGCTCATTGCAACATAAAGGCTGCCAACATCTTGCTTGATGAAGAACTAATGCCTCACATATGTGACTGTGGCCTAGCAATTCTAAGACCATTTACAAGCAATGCTGTCAAAATTAAGGTGAGTCTTTTTTAGGAATAATTAGATAACTTCAGTTAATACACTGATAGAACAAGCTAGGAGGGTAAATGGTACTAATAGTGACTTCAATCAGTGTGAATGGTAGTATCCCTGCTTGTAGTTGGCAGAAAATTTTGCTCTCTATTCTGTCCTCTGAGCATTGAGCAAAAATTGTCTTTGTGCAACTGGGGAGTTGTTAGCATTTCAAATAGAATTATATGCATTTATGTAATTTAATTTTTCTCAAGTCCCTTGGGAAAAGCTTCT